ACGGATGATCTGGGATCTTCCCTTGGTTTCCACCTACTGTTTGGCAGAGCCGTTTTCTGGACTCAGCGATCTGGTATCTCTGGTTGGGGGATGCTCTCCTCGATGAGGATGTGTTTGTTGGTAATTTCCAACAATTTGACAAAATCCTGGGGTTCATGAATGCTGTGGTCATACCCAAACCTCTCAAACCTCAAACCCTACTTCATGTCGGTTTAGAGGTCCCTCACATCCAACATCTTTTTCTGGAATCGTAGGATGTAAGAGCGCAAACTCCATTCAATTCCTTTTTTTAGCTGTCATAAGGTTTGCACGCTTGCAAGCTGCGCCAAGAAAAGTCTTCGGCTCATACTACTTCCTGTAGGAAGAATGTTGAACCACTTTAGGGCTGACGACCTCAAGGTGGGGAAGAACGGGTGACACTTAAATGCGTCTGAGACTTTCAGCAGGCATGTCACGGATTCGAATGAGGGGATGTGGTCGTTGAGATCCCACCAACCTCGGTGCACCTTCAGTGTTGGAAGCTTGAATTTCTTTAAGAGCTTAGCTCTTGAGATATGGAGGGAGAAGGGGTTCTCTAGCTCATGCGATGCCTCAGTGTCACCGAATCGCTGCCTCTGTACTTGTGCAGACTTAGTGCTGTTTTGGTACTATGAGTCTTTGGCCCTCTCGGGGCCGTTGTTCAACCTTCTGCAGTTGTGCACCGGTGTCGTCTCGTGAAGAGGGTTCTGCCCCTGGTGGGCCCGATCATCTCCTATGGCCTCAACAACCTCAGGTTTTCCGCAATCTGGCACGATGCCTGATTGATTATCTGAGTCCTTAACTCTTGCATTCCTCATTACATGCGCTCCTCAATGTCTTCTCTAGTTCGTTCTACATTGACTACTTCTCTATGAAGACTCTTCTCTTTGTGATTATTGTGTTTCTTTTCTTGTTGACGACATGATTCCATGCTTACCGCACCTTTCAGGATGTTGAATCCAAAATTGTCAGAGAGACACTCAAGGAATAAAGTGCAAAAAAGAGAAAGAGAGTAGAGGGCTTGATAATGAACATTTAAATCGTGTAACCTTTATTCATGAAATGAGCCCCTATTTTTAGGAATGGGTGATGTAAAATTACATTATGTAGCCCTAGAAAAATAGGTACAACTGGGGCATTTTGGTCAATACATAATTATAGGACCGGGAGCCTGAGATGGTGTATGGTCGAATGGGGGTGGGAGCTTGGGATGTCTCCTAACCAAATTTTGGGCCCAACGAACACACACCAGGAGCCTGAGGGAATGGCCGGCTAGATCATTTCCCGAGCAACTATGGTCGCAGGATAGTTCAAGAATCCCCGATCGTCTGCTTTAAATCTGGGCTATTTTCATCGTTTGCCGGACGTAATTGAGGAG